CTCCCTGCCACCTCGGGGGACACCTTGCCCCATCACTTCACCCTCCCACCTCACCCTGCCACCTCTAGGGGCACCTCACCCTGTCACCTTGCCCTGCCACCTTGCCCTGCCACCATGCCCTGTCACCTCTGGGGACACCTCATCCTGCCACCTTGCCCTGTCACCACACCCTGTCACCTCACACTGCCACCTCTGGGGACACCTCTGGGGACACCTCACCCTGCCACCTCATCCTGCCACCTGACCCTGCCACCTCTGGAGACACCTCGCCTTGTCACCTCCCCCTGTCACCTCTGGGGACACCTCACCCTGCCACCTCTATGGTCACACCGTAACCATTTCTTCACCTCTCACCTTTTCCCACTCCATGCCACAGACACCTCAAACCATCCGAAACCACCCCTGACGAATCCCACTGCAGCCCACCTTCCATCCTTCCACTTCTCCAAAATTCCCGACCTTTCTCACAAACCCACCCTCCAAAACTCATTCCCAATCCAACTCCTCTCTCTTTACCATCCTTTACCTCCCGGGGCGGTGACACTGATGTCCCCTCCTGCCCCGCGGTGTCCCCGCGGTGTCCCCGTGTCCCCTCAGCGGACAAGTGCATCCAGAACGTGTACCGGGACCTGCGGCTGCGGCGCAAGAGCCGCCAGGAGCACGTGGGCATCCTGGGCAACCTCATCCTGCGTGACAAGCTGCCCCTGGATGACATCCGCGCCAGCGTCACTGAGATGATGGCAGGAGGGGTGGACACGGTGAGGCCTGGGGACGGGACAGGGACAAGGGCCTGGCTGGGGCGGGGAGAAGGTCCTGGACTGGACGGGGAGAAGGTCGTGGGTGGTGTTGGGACAGGCTGGGAGAAGGTCCTGGGTGGGGCAGAGAGAAGGTCCTGGGTGGTGTTGGGACAGGCAGGGAGAAGGTCCTGGGTGGGGCAGGGAGGAGGTTGTGGTTGGTGTTGGATGGGCCAGGGAGAAAGTCCTGGCTGGTGATGGGTGGGATAGGGAGAAGGTCCTGGATTGGGCAGGGAGAAGGTCCTGGATGGGGCTGGGTGGGGCAGGGAGGGAGAAGGTCATGCCTGGTCCTGATTGGGTCAAGGGGAAGGTCCTGGGTGGTGTTATGTGGAGCAGGAAGAAAGTCCTGGTTGGGGCAGGGAGAAGGTCCTGGATGGAACAGGGAGAAGGTTCTGGGCGGTGTTGGGACAAGAAGGGGGAAGGTCCTGGTTGGTGCTGGTTGGGACAGGGACAAGGTCCTGGGTGGTCCTGGGTGGGGCAGGCAGGGGGAAGGTCCTGGATTGGGCAGGGAGAAGGTCCTGGGTGGTGATGGGTGGGGCAGCACCAAGCTGGGCAAGAGAAGGTCCTGGCAGCCCTGAGCAGGTCCTGGCAGGGCTGAGCAGGCCGTGGCGGGGCTGAGCAGGTCCTGGCAGGGCTGAGCAGGTCCTGGCAGGGCTGAGCAGGCCGTGGCAGCTGTGTCCCCCGTGTCCCCCAGACGTCCATGACCCTGCAGTGGGCCATGCTGGAGCTGGCGCGGGCCCCGGGCGTGCAGGAGCAGCTGCGGGCTGAGGTCCTGGCAGCCAAACGCGAGGCGGGCGGCGACCGCGAGAAGATGCTGAAATCCACACGGCTGCTCAAGGCCGCCATCAAGGAGACACTCAGGTGAGGAGGAGGAGGAGGAGGGGCTCAGGTGAGGAGAAGTGGCACAGATGAGGAGGAGGAGGGGCTCAGGTGAGGAGGACACGCCCTTCCTCCCCCGAGTGTCCCCAAGGCCCCGGTGTCACTGTCGCGCAGGCTGCACCCGGTGGCCGTGACCCTGCAGAGGTACACCACGCACGAGGTCATCCTGCAGGACTACCGCATCCCGCCCGGGGTGAGGGGACACTGGGACATGGGGAGATGGGGACAGGGGGACATGGGGAGATGGGGACAGGGGGGACAGAGGGAGAGGGGGACATGGGGATGTGGGGAGAGTGGGACACAGGGAAACGGGGACAAGGGGGACATGGGGACATGGGAACATAGGGACATGGGGACACAAGTATGGTGGTGACATGGGGACAGAGGGGACATGGGACATGGGGAGATGAGGACATGGGGAGATGGCGACATGGGGACACAGGGATGTGGGGACACAAGGACATGAGGACACGAGGACATGGGGACATAAGGACATGAGGACATGAGGGCATGAGGACACAGGGGCATGAGGACATGGGGATGCGGTGACACAGTGACACGGTGACACAATGCCCCTGCTCCCTGCGGGATATGGGGACATGAGGGGACACAGAGATGCAGGGAAGCAGGGACATGAGGACACAAGGACACAGGGACACGAGGACATGGAGATACAAGGACATGAGGACACGGGGTCATGGGGACATGGGAACATGGGAACATGAGGACACAAGGACGTGAGGACATGATGATACAAGGGCACGAGGACATGGGGACATGAGGACACAGGGACATGGGGGAACAAGGACATGAGGACATAAGGACATGAAGATACAAAGACACAAGGACATGGGGACATAGGAACATGGGGACATGAGGACAAGAGGACATGAGAACATGGGGACGTGGGGACATGGGGAAGCAGCAATGTGGAGACACAGGGACACAAGGATACAAGGACATGGTGACAGGGTGACACGGTGACAGGGTGACATGGTGACAGGGTGACATGGTGACACGGTGCCCCTGTCCCGCCGTTCTGCAGACGCTGGTGCAGGTGGGGCTGTACGCCATGGGCCGTGACCCCGCCGTGTTCCCGCGGCCCGAGCGCTTCCTCCCGCAGCGCTGGCTGCAGGCTGGCCCCAAACCCTTCCTGGGGCTCGGCTTCGGCTTCGGGCCCCGGCAGTGCCTGGGCCGGCGCATCGCCGAGCTGGAGATGCAGCTCTTCCTCATGCACGTGAGTGGCCCCTGTCCCCAGCGCCGGGGACAGCGCTGCGGTGCTGGGGTCTGTCACACAGGGTCCCTGACATCAGGGGACAGCGCCGGGGCTGTGGGGTCCATCCTGCAGAGTCCCCAACACCAGGGGACAATGAGGTGGCCGTAGGCTCCCGTCCCCGCGGGCAAGGGGACAGCGCAGTGGCCGCCGTGTCTATGCTGCAGGGTCCCCAGTGTGAGGGGACAGCGTGGTGGCCATGGGGTCTGTCCTGCAGAGTCCTTGACGCAAGGGGACAATGCAGTGGCCGTGGGCTCTGTCCCCATGGGTGAAGGGACAGTGTGGTGGCTGTGGGGTCTGTCACATGGGGTCCCTAACATCAGGGGACAGCGCCGGGGCTGTGGGGTCCATCCTGCAGAGTCCCCAGCATGAGGGGACAGCACAGTGGCTGCAGGGTCTGTGCTGTGGGGCTCCCAACATGAGGGGACAGTGCAGTGGCTGTGGGGTCTGTCCTATGGGGTCCTCACTGCCAGGGGACAGAGCAGTGGCCACAGGGTCTGTCCCCACAGGGGTCCCCAATGCCAGGTCTGTCCCTGTGGAGTCCCTGATGTGAGGGGACAGCGTGGTGGCCGTGGGGGCCATCCTGCGGGGTCCCCAATGCCAGGGGACAGCGCAGTGGCCACAGGGGTCTCTGATGCAAGGGGACAGCACGGTGGCTGCGGGGTCTGTCCCACGGGGTCCCCAACATGAGAGGGCAGTGCGGTGGCCATGGGGTCCATCACACAGGGTCCCTGACATGAGGGGTCAGCGCGGTGGTCATGGAGTCTCTCCTGTGGAGCCCCCGACACAAGGGGACAGCGCGGTGGCCGTGGAGTCTGTCCTGGGGGGTCCCCAATGGGAGGGGACAGCGCGGTGGCCACAGGGTCCATCCAATGGAATCCTGGTTTGGCTCGGCTCAGAGTGGCCCCGAAGGTCACCCTGGGCCTTGCTCCAGTGTCCCCAAAGCCCCCCAGCCCCACGGCTGTGTCCCCTCCACCCCAGATCCTGGAGAACTTCAAGATCGAGACCATGCGGGCCGTGGAGATCGGCACCAAGTTCGACCTGATCCTGATCCCGGACCGGCCCATCCAGCTGACTCTGCGGCCCCTCGAGGGCCAGCCCTGAGGAGGGGACACCCCGGGGACACCCCCACGTCCCCCGCGGTGGCGTTTGGGGACAGTGGGGACGCTCCCGGGGCCGCGGCCTCGGCTCAAGGCTGCGCTTTGCAGGGCAGACAAAGTGGGGCCGCCCCGCGGGGAGGGGGATTTGGGGGGGTCCCACTGAGCTCCCCCAAGCCTCTGGAATGTCCTGGAGCCTCTGGAATGTTCTGGAATGTTCTGGAATGTTCTGCCTGGCCTCCGCTCCATGGGAAAGGCGTCCGCAGGGTCAGGGCAGGGGGGCAGCGCCTGGGGGGGCTTGGAAAGGTCCCGAAGGGTCTGGGGGCACAGGGGGGCACCCATGGGGGGAACCACCCCCTCTGGGGTGGGCAGGGGACACCGGGGACACTGGGGACACTGGGGGACACTGAGGGACACTGGGGACACCAGGGTCAGTGGGGACACTGGGGACATTGGGGACATTGGGGACACTGGGGACATCGGGGTCAGTAGGGACATTGGGGACCCTGAGGGAAACTAGGGACACTGAGGGACACTGGGGACATCGGGGTCACTGGGGACATTGGGGACATCGGGGTCACTGGGGACATTGGGGACACTGGGGACCCTGATGGAAATTAGGGACACTAAGGGACTCTGGAGACATTGGGGTCAGTGAGGACATTGGGACACTGGGGACATTGAAGGACACTGGGGACATTGGGGTCAGTGGGGACATTGGCGTCAGTGGGGACACTGGGGACACCGAGGGTCATTGGGGACACTAGGGACATTGGGGACACTGAGGGTCACTGGGGACACTGGGGACATTGGCAGTCATTGGGGTCACGGGATACACTGGGAACACTGGGGGTCACTCCTAGGGGAGGGCTCTGGGGTGGGCAGAGGGACGCTGGGGACACTGGGGGTCATTGGCAGTCACTGGCGACACTGAGGGACACCAGGGGACACTGAGGGTCACTGGGGGTCATTCCCACGGGAGGGCTTGGGGTGGGCAGAGGGACACTGGGGACAATGGGGACATTGGCGGTCACTGGGACCCTGGGTACACTGGTGTCACTGTAGGGTCACTGTAGGGTCAATGGTGTCACTGTAGGGTCACTGTAGGTCCCCGGTGTCCCCGGTGTCCCCTGTCCCCGCTCACCAGGGCCAGGCCGTGCTCCTGCTCCCGCAGGCGCGTCCCCAACTCCTGCTGGCCCCGGGCCCAGCTCCGGGCAGCCTCCTGCAGCTGGGACAGACCCCACACGGGCTGGGACTGACCCCAAACGGGCTGGGACTGACCCCAAATGGGCTGGGGACCCCAAAACGGGCTGGGACTGACCCCAAATGGGCTGGGGACCCCAAACTGTCATGGGAGACCCCACACCGCCATGGGGGACCCCAAAACAGGCCAGGGGATCCCAAACCACCATGGGGGATCCCAAACCGCCATGGGGGATCCCAAAACAGGCCGAGGGACCCCAAAACGGGCTATGTGACCCCAAAACGGGCTGAGTGACCCCAAATCGCTCTGGGTGACCCAAAATGCCCTGGACCCAAACCTCACTGGGGGACCCAACCACACTGGGTGACCCCAAAACACGATAGATGACCCTAAAACGCTCTGAGTGACCCCAAACCACGCTGGGTAGCCCCAAACCGCACCAGGTGATCCCAAAACACACTGGGTGACCCCGAAACGTGCGTGACCCCAAAACCACACTGGGTAACACTAACACACGCTGGATGACCCAAAACGCACTGGGTGACCCTAAAAGACACGGGGTGACCCCAAACCACGCCAGGTGGACCCCAAACCACCCTGGGTAACCCCAAACCCCTGTGGGTGACCCCAAACCCTCCCCGCGGTGCCCACCTGCCTCTCCAGCGCCCGGGCCCGGCCCTGCTCCCGCTCCAGCCGCGCCAGCAGCTCCAGCTTCTCACCGGGCCCCGGGAGCCGCTGCGGGCACGGGAGCGCCGGGTCGGGATCGGCCCCGCGCCGCTGCCACCCCCGGGCCGTGTCCGGCTGTCACACACGGGGCCGTGTCCCTCTGTCTCCGCTGCCACCCCCGGGCCGTGTCCGGCTGTCCCCGGTGTCACCCCTGGGCCGTGTCCCCTCTGTCCCCGCTGCCACCCCCGTGTCCCCTCTGTCCCCGGTGTCACCCCTGGGCCGTGTCCCCTCTGTCCCCGGTGACGCGTCCCCTCTGTCCCCTCTGTCCCGGTGCCACCCCCGTGTCCCCTCCCGCTCTCACCGCGGCCCGGGCGGGTCGGGCCGGTTCCTCCCGCAGCCGCTTCTGGGCCAGCAGCGCCGCCAGGGTGGCACCTGCGAGGTGGCACCTGTGAGGTGGCGCCTCTGGGGGGACAGCGGGGACATTGTCCCGTGTCCCTCCCTGGGTGGGGACAGGGGGACAGCGAGCCCCGGCTTCTGCCGTGCCCGGGGACTGGGGAATGAGGGAACCCCTGCCACGGGGGGGACAGGGAGGGCTGGGGACATCTCTGAGGGTTGGGGACATCCCTGAGTGTCCCTTTCCCCTCCTGCCCACCCCGGGCCATCCCAGGGACAGCTGGGGACCCCCCGAGTGTCGCTGTCCCCCGCACGCACCCGCGGCTCTCTCGGCGCTCCTGTCCCGCAGCAGCAGCCGCTCCATGGCCTCGATCACCTGGGCACAGGGCACGGCTGTCCCCGTGTCCCCAGCGCCGCGCCAGGGCTCCGTGCCCAGCCCGTGCAGGGCCGGGGAGGGGCTGGCAGTGTCCCCAGACCCGTCCTTGTCACCCGGGCCGTGTCACCTTGTCCTGCTGCCGCAGCGCCCGCTGCAGCGCCCCGGCCTCGGCCGCCCTGTCCTGGCAGCGCCTCAGTGCCAGCTGCTGCCGCCGCTGGAGCAGCACCAGCTCCTTCTCGCGGTCGTTCTTCTGCGGGAGAAGCCCCGGGAGTGCCGGGCACGGCCCCGAGCCCCGGGGCAGCCCCGGGTGCCCGCGGTGCCAGCGGGGCCGTACCCGGATCAGCTCGTTCTGCAGCCGCTGCACCCGGTCCCGCAGTGCCCGCAGCTCCAGCGCGCCCGCCGCCAGCTCATGGGACAGGGTGGCTGCGGGGACAGCCCTGTCACCACCCGGGATGGCTGCGGGGACAGCCCTGTCACCACCCGGGATGGCTGCGGGGACAGCCCTGTCACCCACCCAGGGTTGCAGTGCCCAGCGTGGCCCTGCCCAGCCCCAGGGTGACACGCCACATCCCGGTCACCCACACAGAGTGGCAGTGCCATCATGTCCTGCCTGTCCCCAGGATGATGTGCCTTGTCCTGGTCACCCACCCAGGGTGGCAGTGTCCTGCATGTCCTGCCCGTCCCCAGGGTGACACGCCACATCCCTGTCACCCAGGCAGGGTGGCAGTGCCCTGCGTGTCCTACCCAGCCCCAAAGTGACATGCCACATCCCTGTCACCCGGGAGGGTGACAGTGCCCAGTTCACACCCCAGGGTGGCTGTAAGGAAGAACCATGTCCCTGTCACCATGTCCCTGTCACCATGTCCCATCACCCAGGCAGGGTGACAGTGCCCCGCATGCCTTGCCCATGTAAGGGTGACACACCACATCCCTGTCACCCGGCAGGGTGGCAGCGCCCTGCCCGTGCCCGGCACGCACCCAGCCTGTCCAGCAGCTCGTCCCGGCCCAGCACGTCGGTGTCGGTGCCGCGGAGCTGCTCCGGCTCCCGCAGCCGGGCCAGGCTGTGCCGCAGGTGCCCGTTCTCCGCCTCCAGGCTGGCGACACGGCGGCGCAGGGACAGCAGGTGTCCCGCCATCCTCTGCAGCGCCAGGCGGTGGCTGCCACCCCCCTGGGGACCAGAGCAGGGCTGGCACTGCTGGGCAGGAAGGGATGTCACCCCGGAGAGGGACAACCCCCCTGGTCCCAGGGAATGGCTCAGGATGAGCATCAGACACACCATGGGGGAGCTGAGAGATGCGCAGATTGTCCCCTGCTCTTGGCACCATTCATCCATCCATGGATCCATGGATCCATGGATCCATGGATCCATCCATCCATCCATCCATCATCCATGGATCCATCCATCCATCATCCATCCATCATCCATCCATCCATCCATCCATCCATCCATCCATCCATCCATCATCCATCCATCCATCCATCCATCCATCCATCCATCCATCATCCATGGATCCATCTATCATCCATCCATCATCCATCCATCATCCATCCATCCGTCCATCCATCATCCATCATCCATCCATCCATCATCCATCCATCCATCCATCCATCCATCCATCCATCCATCCATCCATCCATCATCCATCCATCCATCCGTCCATCCACCCTTCCTTCTGTCCTTCCCAACCTTGTCCTGTCCTTCTACTTCCCCATCTCCCTCTTTTCCCTTTTTTCCCATCCACCTCCTGTGGAATCTCCCAGGGATGTGGGGTTGGACCTGGGACCCCCAAACTCGGAGATTTTTGAGGATTTCCAGCTCTTTAACAGAGGGATGGGGTGAAGAACAACAGAGGGATGAACATTCCCAAAGATTCTCCTGGATTTTTTGCCTCATGTGTGGCTGGAGATGCTGGGGAAGGGGGAAGAATTCCTGAGGAATTATCCTGGATCCCCTTGGGAAGGATCCTGGCAGCCATGGGACCTTGGCCAGAGGAGCCACGTGCCTTGGGAATGACCTCAGGAACGGCCTTGGCCACCGGCCTGGCGGGAGGTGACAGCCCTGGGGGACCCTGGGGACAGGGAAAGGTGGGCAGGAGAAGCCAGAGGCTCCAGTCCTTCCTCCTCATCTGCTGGGAATGGGGAAATCCAGGAATCGCTTCATTCCCGAGATGAACAGCAGCCAAGCCCGGGGCTGTCCCCTCCCAGGCTGCCCTGGGGACATCGCTGTCCCCCCACGTGTGTGTCCCCCCCTGTGTCACTCACCGGCTCCTGGGGTTGTCCCGTGCTCTCCTGGGAATGGCCAGGGACAGCTGGGGCAGGCCGGCGTTCCGAGGGGGGCTCCAGGCTCGGGATGTTCCCGTGCCTCCGGAGCGGCTCCTGCGCGGGCAGGGCCCGGCCCGGGGCTGGCAGGGACATCCCGGGGGACACGGCTGGCAGGGACAGGGGGGACAGCGGGGACACGGGGGGGACGGGGGCAGCAGGGTGAGGGCGTCCCAGTCCTGTTCCTGTTCTCCCATTCCCGATCCTGCCATGTCCCATTCCTGATACCACCCTGTCCCCTTCCCGATCCCAGTGCGTCCCATTCCCGATCCCAATTCCCATTCCCAATCCCAGCTTTCCCATTCCCATTCCTGTCCCCATTCCCATTCCCTGTCCCAGTCCTGTTCCACTTCCCTGTCCCAATCCTATTCCCATTCCCATCCCTGATCCCACCATGTCCCATTCCCATTTCCCATCCCTAATCCCATTCCTATTCCCTGTCCCAACCCTATTCCCATTCCCTGTCCCAATCCTATTCCCATTCCTGTCCCTGATCCCACTGTGTTCCATTCCCATTCCCATTCCATCCCTGTTCCCCTTCCCATTCCCTGTCCCAATCCCATCCCCATTCCCAATCCCATCCCTGATCCTGCTGTGTCCCATTCCCATTCCCGAACCCACGCCCTTCCCAAACAATTCCCAGGAACCCCTGGAATCCCGGGGATCCCGGGCACTCACGGGGCGGTGCCGGGAGTGCAGCGGGAGCCGGAGCCGCCGTTCCCGGGATGTTTTCCCGGGATGTTTTCCCCGCCGTTCCCGGGATGTTTTCCCCGCCGTTCCCGGGGCCCGCGCGGCTCCCGGCGCCGTTGCCACAACAGAGCGGAACCGGCCCTGGGCAGCCCCGCCCCGGAACGGCTCCGGTCCCAGCCCCGCGGGGATCCCAAATCACGGGGGATCCCGAAAAACACCACCGCGATCCCGAAATCCACCCGGGGAATTCCAGGGGTCATCCCGAAATCCAGCCGGGGCAATTCCAGGTGATCCCAAAATCCATATGGATGAATTCCAGGGACACCCCGGGGATTCCAAAATCCACACAAGGCAATTCCAGGGGTGATCCCAAAACCCACACGGGGGAATTCCCGGGGATCCCAAAATCCATATGGGGGAATTCCAGGGGTGATCCCAAAATCTGCATGAGGGAATTCCAGGTGATCCCAAAATCCACACAGGGCAATTCCAGGGACACCCTGGGGATCCCCAAAACCACCCAGGTGATCCCAAAACCCACATGGGGAAACTCCTGGGGATCCCAAAATCCACACGGGGCAATTCCAGGGTTGATCCCCAAATCCACATGGATGAATTCCAGGGACACACCAGGGATCCCAAAATGCGTACAAGGGAATTCCAGATGACCCCAAAATCCACACTGGGGAATTCCAGGTGACCCCAAACACACAAGGATAAATTCCAGCCCCACTCCGATCCCTGCCCACCCCAGCCCGCTTTGGGGTTGATTTCCCCGCATTTTTTTGGATTTTCCAGGCATTTTCCGCTCCATCTTTTCCCCGAATTCCCCTCGGATTTCTCGGCGCCGCCGTTTCCTGCGGGAGGCCGGGATGAAAGGCCGGGAACGCAGCTTTGAAATTCCACTTTTGAATATTTATTCCTTTTTTCCCTGATCTTTCCCGAGCCTCTGAAGCTCTGGGATCCTTTCATCCCTTCCCGCTCCTTTCCACATTTGCTCATCCCGAATATTTATCTTTTTTCTTTCGTTTTTTCCCCTAATATTTGTTTAACAAATCGCTCCGTGGGGTTTCTGTGGATCCCTCTGCAGGCCGGATGGGAAATCGGCCTCAAAGCCACCCCAGAAGGCCCCAAAGTGCCCCCGAAACTGGAGAATTTGGGGATATTTTAGGGATAGAGGAGGGAAAACAATGTTTTCTACATTTTCCACCTTTTTTCCCAGATTTTCCCGCGTTTCCCCCCATTTTTCCCATATTTTTCCCACATTTCCCCTGCTTTTCTGCGATTTTCTCCATGTTTTTCCCCACATTCATCTCCTCCCTCATTTTTGCCACATTTCCCCTTATTTCTCCAGATTTCCTCCCATTTCCCCCCACATTTTTCATGGATTTCCTCCTATTTTCCCCACTTCTTCCCCACATTTTTGCCCCATTTTTCCCCATTTTCCCACATTTCCCCACTTTTCCCTCCTGTTTTTCCCAGATTTTCTCTACATTTCCCCCCTATTTTCCCATATTTCCTCACATTTCCCCCACATTTTTCTGCATTTCCTCCCTATTTTTCCAGGATTTCCCCCACATTTTGCCCCACATTTTTCCCACATTTCCCCCTTATTTTTCCCAGATTTTCCTCCCATTTCCCTCCACATTTTTCCTCACATTTCCCCCACGCTGTCCCTCCCTTTTTTGTCACATTTTCCCCCATTTTTCCACATTTCCCCCCTATTTTTCCCAGATTTCCTCCTCATTTCTCCCCCATTTCCCCCAGATTTTCTTCCTCCCTTTCCCCCCACTTTCCCCCTATTTTTTCCCAAATTTTTCCCCTATTTCCCTCTGATCCCACCCCTGATCCCACAGGAACATCTGAGCAAATGAAGACATCCCAAATGCTCCAGGGCCTCACGAGCTGTTGTGACAGGTGAAAAAAAAAAAGGAAAAATGGAATTTTTTCCCCCTCTCTGATCTCCTTTAATCCTCATTTCCCCCTTTTTTCCTCAGATATGTAAATGGAAGCTTATCCCATCTTCCCAACAATTGGGCAATTAGGGCCTCGTGGGATTATCCCGGAATTATCCCGGGATTATCCCGCTGAGCCAGGAAATCCCAATGGGGAAAAGCCGGGGAAAATGGAGAGGGAAATGGGGAGAAAATCTGGGAAAAGTAGAGGGGAAATGGGGGGGAAATGTGGGGAAAAAAGGGGGGGGGGGAATTTGGAGAAAATGGGTGGAAAATCTGGGAAAATGTGGGGGGGAAATTAAGGAGGAAATCTGGGGAAAATTGAGAGGAAAATGGGGGGAAATGTGGGGAAAATCCGGGAAAAATCTGGGAAAATGGGGGGGAAATGTGGGAAAAATAGGGGGGAAATGGGGGGGGGTGAATTGTGCGAAAAATGGGGGTAAATATGGGGAAATTCCGGGGAAAATGGAGGGGGGGGAATCTGGGAAAAATTGGGGGCAGAAATGAGGAAAAATGAAGGGGAAATTGTGAAAAATGTGGGGAAAATGGGGAAGGAATGAGGGGGTAAATGGGGGAAAATGGGGGGGAATGGGAGGGAAATGTGGGGGAGAATGTGGGGGGGAAATTAAGGGGGAAATCTGGGGAAAATTGAGGGGAAAATGGGGAAAAAATTGGGAAAATGGGGATGGAATGGGGGGGGGAATTAGGGGGAAAGTGAGGCTAAAATGGGTGAAATGGGGAGAAATGTGGGAGAATGTGGGGAAAATACAGATAAAATGGGGAGAAATCTTGGGGGGAAATGGGGGAAAATGGGCGGAGAAATGTGGGGAAAATGAGAGGGAAAATTGGTGGAGGAATGAGGGGAAAATGTGGGGAAATGTGGGGAAATGGGAGGAAACTGGGAGACAATAGGGAAGGAAAATATGGGGGAAATGGGGGACAAAGGTGGAATAAATGAGGGAGGAATGAGGGGGAAATTGGGTGAAAATTAGGAGAAAATAGGGGAGGAATATGGGGGAAAATGGGGTGGAAATTAGGGGAAATGAGGGGAGGGAATGGGGGGAAATGTGGGGGAAATGTGGGGGAAATGTGGGAGGAATGAGGGGAGGAATGGGTGGAAAATGGGGGAAAAATGTTGAATAAATGTGGGAGGAACGAGGGGGGGAATGTGGGGGGGGAATGAGGGGAAAATGGGGGGAAATGGGGAGAAAATAGGATGGAAAATATGGGGAAAATGGGGGAGAAATGTGGAATGAATGAGGGAGGAATGAGGGGAAAATGGGTGGAAAATGGGGAAAATGAGGGGGAAATTGGT